TCTTTAGGGCGAAAAAGACAGGAACATTATGGATGTTCATGACTTCAGCCTGCTCATTCCCACCTTAGAGTATCACAATCGTACATGGACGTGGCATGATCTGTTGATGGCCATGAAGAAAGACTGTGTCAATGTGCTTGTATCACAAGTAAGTTCTTCACTATAGACCTTTTCTTTACCCTTAGACGACAAGTTTGCATTTATTCGTTTTTATTATGCATTTCTCGGTCGGAAGACAAGTTGAGACTTGGAGATATTGTATCATAACTTTCAGGTCTCCTTCTTCTCTGTTTGTTTACCGGTTAAAACTTGATTGTTCTTTTTTTTGTAGGCTATTAAGGAAAAGCTACATCTTGTAGGAGGACATGGCACAGAAACCAAGGAGTCCAAATCACAAGCCAAGTGAGTTTCTTTTTAGCAGCTGTTACTAAGAATATAAAGAAGCGCAATACCTCTCGTTAGTTTTTAATTTTGATTGTCACGTAACGCAACTTCACTGTGGCGGCAGTGATGGGTGGTAGCTGCGAAGTAGGCTGGTGAATTATGAATTTGAGATAAAGAAGAGGAGTTGTACCAGGTTGTGACCACTTACAAGTGTGTGTTTGTAAACAAAACCATAAGATTTGATGTCCGTTGGTCTTATCCACCCCTTTTCATAGTTTCGCCTATCATCAAACTCTTATGCGCATAAGAAGCTAATGGAAACGAAAAAATTTCGAACATCGTTTCTCAAATGTTTTGAAAACACTCCTTCTCAAGCGCGAACAGGTGAAAACGGAAGCCCTACAAGACCGTGACGCATACGGCGTCACATATATTTGCTTATGTAAACATTTCGGACAGGGAAAAAAATGATCGAAATTTAAACGAAAATGTTTAGTCTGGTGTAGCTGTGAGGGCATGGGACTCGTTAAAAATGCAATTGTGTAATCGGGGCTCAAGTGATCTACTCTTGTTTTTTTTTCCTTTTTCTCAGGGAAGAAGATAAAGCACGCATGCTTTTAGGAGGCTTTGTAAGTTGATAAGATGTTTCAGGGTTTATTCTAGAAATTTGTCAAAGAAGACCCAGTTGGCCCCCTTCTATAATTTTAGGGAGAGCCCTTCGCTTAAAAAGGGCGCCCAAAATATTTAAATGTGGTGCCCCTGGAGGTATTGACATAAATTTATGCTGCAATTTCCTTCTCTTAGCTAAGATCTAGGATAAATTTTGTGTTATAAGGCTTAACTTAAAGATCAATGTGATTTCTTTTCTCTCTGTTTTATCCGTTGGGCGCGACCTTCAGGTTATGTTCTTTTTCCTTTTATTTCAGCAACAGAAAGATCAGCATAAGAAGTCAAAGAAAAAGTTGTTTGGCAAATTGGCGAAGGTCGCTCGAGGCTCGAAACGAAAAGGTTCGTGTGACGGACTTGTCACCAACAAGACAACGATATTTCACCAAGAGAATATTAACAGTTTATATTTCTTGATTTTACTTTCTGTCTTAAAGAATTTTTTATGGTCCTCTTCAATATCAAATTACTTTTCTTTGCATACGATATAAAGCTGGGTCTTAATTATATACCAAACACGCTTTTTGTAAGTTTATGGCGAACCGATTTTTAATCGAGTCTTGGAACTAATCGAGATCTGATTGGTTTTGTTTAAGTACGCTCTGTAAATGCTCAAAAACTTTTGCGCCATTCTCTCAGCCAATCAGGTGTAGAATAAAAAAAACAATTGAGACTTGCACCGTGAACATGTGTTTACTCTGAGTTCTCATTGGTTCCTTGTTAATGTAAAACCTTGTTCTGATTGGCTATGGAGAATACTTTGATTTTAGTTAAACGATACTCCGTTGAAATGCGACGTCTAACAAAATAACCGGGAACCGTATCTAGTCTTATTACAAATCCATATAAACATGTAAACTTCAAGCCTTACCTTGTTATAGTCTAAGATAGATCACTTGATATGTCAAGTCTCACTATCACTGAACAACCGTACTAAACACAACTTTATTCTCCCCAGGTCTCTTGCAGCCTGACGGAGCAGGCCCTGAGCCTGTTGATCTACAAGAAGATCAAGATTTTGAGGAATTCGGTACCTTTGAGATCGATGATCAACCACGGACAGAAGATGACGATGAAGATAAAGATGATACCGGTTAAATTAGCTGATGGAGTTACAACTTCTGCGCTTAAATTACAACTTCTGTGCAAAATGAGGGGAAATCAAGAATAGATTAGACGGAGAATTCCCATAAAAAATCAACAATCAGCCTTGCGAATTTTATTTTTATGAACGGGATAAAAATATGAATGTAGAAGTCACTCTTTGTCCTAGAACAAAAATTTCCAACCTACATTATTTGAAACACATACCATTCTTGAGGATTACGTATTAGGTGGTTTTCTACTTGCTTTCTCTAACGTAGATTTTAAGGTGCAACTTAAAAGAGGATGGGGAATTGACACTTAGTTGTATTTTGAACGGTTCGATTTTTTTGACAGAACAACTTACGTGACCAGTGAAAGATGAATATTGTGATACCATTGGTTACGTAGAGAAATTATTTAAAATTACGTTTTCAAAATGAGATGTACAATTATAGTAATTAAGTGCGAGCTGGAGGTATTATTTAACCTTAGAGGCTTAGCTGTGAATTTTGTTTAGGATTATTTGCAATCAAATGTCAAGACGAGTTCATAAATATCGTGGATACCTTAGGATTTGAATTAAGGGATCCCAATTTTCCAAATATTATTAAATCGAATCAGGTCGTCGAGATTCAATAGTGTTTAATATCTCTGTATGCTGCCCTCTTCTTGCGTTAAACGTTACCCAGTGCGTAACTTCCCTTTATTGCGTTCCCTTATGCTACCACTTCGTACGAGTGCATGTAAATCCTCAGTCGCGATGAATTTTGAACTGAAAGTGATTTTTGATTCAGGGTGAACATCGATAGTTCAGTAGCGACAACGTCTTGGAGGTGTGGCAGAGAACACAACTTGAACCCTGAATGTATTATTCCTTTAAACTCGTATCTTTTTCACGTCGCTGAGCCTCCTTTGGCTACAGATGATAAATGTTTATTGTTATTATTTACAAATATATTCTATTCGTCAATCGAGAATTTTACAGACCTGATAACATGTTGAACTTTACGGTGTAAAATTGGTCATCCTAAAAAGAAACAGCAAACCTAGGTAGACAGAGTTTTTCCTTACTAATCGAGTCAATTGTAAACAATTGAAAAAGAGATTCTTGTCGTCCTATAGGATAGCTCCTATGCTTCTAGGCTTGATTTTTGCTGTGCGTAGGACACCTAACATATGAATTTAAAATTCGACCTAAGTTACTGACAAGTTCCCCGCAGCTCAGTGGGTAGAGCATCTGACCGCACCATGTTGCGGTCCGTGGTCAGGGTTCAAACCCTGGCGCGGGGAATCTTGTCATTTTTGTTTCTTTTTTAAAGTTTCTCGTCATACTATTTTCCTTTTCCTTTTTTCATGATAAGTCTTTGATGTCTAAATACGCGTTTGAAATGAGTAAGAGTGACTATTCTAAGACGAGGCATTAGTTCCATTGTTTTATTTTTTTTTCAATAAGTGTATGCATAATGTAGTATGGAGTTATACGGAATTTTTTTCAAAATTAGTTCAAACAAATTGAGTCTCGCAACGCTTACTAGCGATTTTATCCAATGCCTCTTTTCATTCCAGAGTTTTTTCCTCGTTACAAAATAGTCCCTACAGTCCAGTTACTGCTGGTTTTTTTCTCTTCTCACGTGCCAATTATTCTCATAAGATGTGTCTCATTCCTCTTGATTCCTAGTTGGCTCAAAAACGTGCAAACTAAACTCTGCACCGAATCAGTGACGTATCAGTCAATTATTGGCTGCAGCTACTAATCCATATTCATCAGTAATATTGTAGAAGTTTCAACAAACCACGCTGTCTGTCAAAGAGTGAACAGGTGCCTTTCGAGCACTGAAAATGAAGTTGCACTCCGGAAAGAAGACGTTGGATCATTTCAGAAGAAATGGGAACGTGAGCTCTCTGATGTTATTAACAACACGAAGTGAGTGCAAAATATTGTTTCCGATTCCTTCATAGAGCTAAACTTACCTTATGATTTCGGTTGAACGACCACATGCGAGTCAATTGCTTTGTCCCGGAGTGTCTCACCAACTCGAAGCTGAGTTTGATTGAATTAGGGTGTTGACTTCGATAAAAACCAGAGCCCATGATTGTAAAATATTTGAAGGGAAATTCATAGCTATCTTTCGTCGAAACAATGAAATGAAGATTACAAAGAGGATTTTTTTGCAGTTGAATATGGCCACGAGATATGTCACGACTCTTCTACAAATAACTTGGTGACCTTTGCCCCATTTAACATTACTTTTCGAAATATTTTCGCGTTTTCCCTTTCTTCTATATTAGTGCTTTTGTGGCAACGAATTAGAGAGAAATTAAATTTGAAGGTCCTAAAATTGTCCGCGTTCGTTCTGAGACAGTAAGCATTCCCTGATTAAATTAATCATTTCTATTTTCAGGAAAAGCAAAGTTGTCAGAAGAATGGAAGAACAAAGATTCTGGTCAAGAGGAGACGCTGGAATGACTGAATTATTGGGGGTTACTGCAAAGATAACAAGTTTGAGACTATCGAGTAAAAGTAGCAAAATGGTGGCACTTATATGTAGAATTATTGCACGAAGGCGTCATTCTTCAACGAAGAGTATTGGAATGGATAAATCTGGTTACCTGGTCAGTGAATGGTTTTCAATTTGCCATCATTTTTGGAATAGTTCGTCATGATGCGGATTGTTATGCAAACCTTGAGCTATCGCATAATTTCATTTGAACTACAAGCTGTAATTTAATGCAATTTATCTCAGATGATCTCATTCCATCGAAATAAGCAAAGCAATAACTAGAAATTGATTTAAACCTGGTGACAGAAAGCTGAAACTGGAAATCTTTGATTTCGAAGCTTTACTGGCCTTCTTGGTTTGCATAACAGTTTTTATCACCATTACACCCTAGTTGACGCTGCACAAAGTTGATATTTGTTAAGGTGGCACTCGAACAAAAGACCTCCGAAAAAGACCAAATGAAATCTAAAATTTAAATGTACACTGTTTTATTTATTTCAAAAATAGCACTTCTGAACAATGCCGACTTTCAAACCACACTATTGTTCAGGCTACATGTCACTATTTTCAGCGACTGACTTTGAAAAGCTTGTTAACAAACTAAGAAAAAACTGCTGCTACCAGCAACTTACAAACGACTTAAGAGTCAACGGTATAACCAGCAGACTGAACAGAACAAACTAAGTTCACAACCGATAAAATGACAAAACGCCAGTTTAGCCATTTACCTTCTCACTTAAAAAATGAGCAAACACTTTTGCTAGCCAAAAGATGACAAATTCCGCTCAGGCCAATCAACTAATTTGGACAACAGGCCTTTTAGGCTCAACACTCGTGCAGACGATTGCACTACAGGGAGCTAACAAGAGAAAACGATGAGGAAAAACACTGATTTGCCTGAAAATTCATCCTCAGCATGAAATGATATAAGCTGGAAATTTTAATATTTTCGTTGAAAAAAAGAAACATCAGTTCGCCATACATAAAAGGAAAAACCAGTGCAGTGCCATCTGAGAACTTGTATCTACTACTTTGTGCAATCAACTGTGGTTAGTTTTAGTGAAAATGTTACTTTTAAAACTTTAATGCCTGGTCAAGAGCCTTTTCTGAAGACTGCTGAGATCGAAATCTACCGTTAAAGAAACCAGTAAAAATTGACGAATGAGTATAGGTTACCATATTTCGGGTAGCTTTTATTCGATTGAGTAGAAAATCATTTCCTAAATCGTTGAAATCTATTTTACACTTTAAACGAAAGTCCATGCAAACATTTGAACCAACCTTTTGGCTTATAAAAGATTATTAAACTATTGGCAATAAATCTTTAGTTGTTGTGAAGGAGCATAATTGTCCCATGGTATTCCCCGAAGAACAAGAACATTTAAGAAACCATTCTGAATTGTTCTCTACAATTTGGAATTTTGGCAAGGCACGTCTATCTTAACGATAAACGTGAGAATCAAAAATGCAAATAAAAAAAAATTTTCATTCAATAGTTGCCAAACCAAATAATTTATGTAAGATTTTCCTGTTGAATGTTCTCACATATTGCTATTGATGACGAATTACATACAAAAAGGTTTTACGAACAAATAACCTATATTCTTTTGGTAATATTACTGAACTGAAATCACGTTGATTTTACCAACAAAGTGAGAACCAAAATTTCAACGAGCTATATCCAAATTAAAGGTGAGTTTTATTGTGCCCTCAAGTTGAAAAGCGAGCGACTTGACGGTTTGCTGGTTTATATACAGTTGTTTCTTCAATGCGAACTTTTAAGTTAATCCAGTTAGCCTTGTATATTAAGTCGCACACGCGTTGCTCTTCATACCAGGCATTTGGTTTTAAAATAATCGACTCATTTATTCCTTATTCTAAGTGGACGGAGGATCTTATGCGCAGTAATTCGATGTAACACAGGAATACAGAAACAAAAAATCTTGCCAAAAATTTTTAATTTATTTTAAATTCAGTTTTTACGAGATAATATACACTCTTGGTTCATAATTACAATAACACAAAAGTTTGTTGCACGAATTAATCGAATTCAACACAGAGCCTAATTGTTATTTGTCTTAGCTTTTGTGGCTAGAACAACAGTTGATATTATTTTATTTTTGTTACTTCGCGAATTTAGTTCAAGAAACTTGGAGCCTAACTGTAAGATATCTTAGCCTTCACGGCCAAAATTAAATTTAAAGAGTTTGCTCCAACACTTGAAGTTATGTTTTATCTAAAATGGTTTAGTCAGTTTAGTCTTACAAACCGGCAGCCTAATTATGGTATGAGTTCTTGTTGCTAAATTCAAATTCGAAGAGTGTGCTCCGACTGTTGAAGCAATTTTATTTTTGAAATCGCTTCGTCAATTTAAGTTCAAGGCTCTTTGAGCCGAAATTTCTTTTTTCCTTCAATTTTCTTAAATAACTAGTTGCTTTTTCAACCTGTACCTGTGTTACGATCGAAAACTGATGGATTTAAAGATCTGCAACAAAAAACACAGTGGAAAGCTATAGGCTTAAAAAAGCAAATTGATCACTGTTTTTCTAGCTGGCCATGACGCTTTTTCGTATACAACTTCCACACATCTCGTGCTAAGAATTGAAGTTCAAAAATCAGTTAAGGGATAAAGATATTCTACTCAGAATTTATTTTAAAGAAACGAAGTCGAATTTTTCAAACTGGTTAATTTTTTTTTCCTCAGAGAGGATAAATTGGCGTTTACTTCAGTTCTTTTTACACGAGATGTTGTTTAATTTTATTTTGGCGGGAAATTTATGAGGAAGCCTTACTAAAATTTTTGCCCAAAATGTTCCAGGGGAAACTCTGTGCAAATTGGTCCAGATTTTCCCGCCAAAAGACTTAGTATACACACGAAAAATTTTTCTTGACACCTCTTTAAAGATTTAATTGGAAACTACTTAATCAATTAACTTGTGATCATAGAGAATTCAAAACCAATAAAATACTTTGTTAAATATGGAACTTTTGTGGTTTATGAGTGAACATTGAAAGACAATAAAACTGAGTGATCACTTTATTTTATTGATTTGTTACTAATAACAAGACAAGAGCCTTTTCTTAACAACATAACTTAAATAATAATTTTTTTAAAAAAATTGGCGCATGCGTATTTTGAGCGCCGTATTATTTCTAAGTTTTTTGGCGGGAAAATTTTAAACTTTTAAATGGCCCATGCCATGAATAATAAGCCGACAAAAAAAATTTAAGTCCTATAAAATTGCGAATTTACATTTGCTTACGTTTGCTTTTAAGTCGTCGATTTACAGCGAATGACTCTTTGCTCCCCCTCACAGTATTCTTGATAGAAATGCAATACATCTGTTTCATCCGTCTGAAGAGATTTTGTTTTTCACTTGGATCACAACCTTTCTTGTTTGATTCGTGCATCAATCAGTCTGTAAGAAGATGAAAAGAACGATAAATCAACAACTGCAAAAGATCTTAAACCGTGATCATTGAGAGTGGTTCGCTAACAGTAACACTAATGTTAAAACTATTTCACGATGTAAAATAATTGTGAATTGGTATTTACATCCTACAGTGTCGAGTCGCTCTTTAAGGGGACTTGAACGTAAAGAGAGATTCACCGGAAATAAAACACTAAAGAAAACAATCATTTCCTTGTTTGCAGTTTTCCTTCCATTTGACTTTGACAAGTTTTGTTGTAAACATTCTTTAAATCTAAGTTGATACGTTCAATACAGACCAGCAGATCAGACTCATACGCGCAGTTGGCCGATTCGTAAAAAATAAACAAATAAACAGACAAACGAGAAAGCAACTCGCCTCTACGAAAGTTTTATGTGTTCCTTTCTTCCCTTGAAATTCCTTGATTTCGTGATAACCTCATCCTATGGCTGACGCTGTCCTGATGAGGAAAAACGAGGAAATTTATATCGTAAAAACAATCATACTTAAATCGTGGTAGGTACTTTCTATTGTGACTGATGAACATCATACCAGGGAAATTAAGCAAGGCAAAGTGTATTTCTATGATACCACTGTCAACTGACAGTGAGGTAGCATTGGATCCCAGTGATATCAACAATATATCTTGACTGAATGCAGATAGTTTTCTACAAAAACTTGATAAT